ACAAAAAAAAAGAAGAAGTGAATATTGACAAAATGATTAATTAATTAATTAATTAATTACGAAAGTGTATCTTTTTTTGAAGGTTTTGTATTTTACTCATAAAATCAAGAGGATAACAATTCCTTTCTCGTCCCCACTTCCCTTTTCTTCTAGGCCTTCACACCTCTAAGACACCAGATGCAGTTATTTTTGGAGCAAACTGTCGATGGGAATTTATATCTGCAGAAGGTGTTTAAAAAAAAAATCATAGTTTTCAGGTGTTCTCAAACTTCCCATTTTTACATATCCCCTTGGCTTCTGAGACACATATATGCCTGAATTTCCATTTATATTGTTATTATTATTGTTCAGAAAGTGATTTATTTACGTAAAGAAAGAGAAAAAGGAGAGGAAGAGAGAAAGCTTCTGAGAGAGAGAGAGAGTGAGAGAGAGAGAGGGGAAGGGGACCCCAGAGGGGAAATCCCTCCATTTATATTATTTTCTGGAGGTAATGAATGAAAGGGCTTTGCCTGTCGAAAGCACTTTGCTATCTGATATGGATCTGTACCCCCACTCACAACTCATGTCGAATTGTAATCCCCAGTGTTGGAGATGGGGTCTGGCAGGAGGTGATGGGATCTTGGGGTTAGATCCTTCATGAATGGTTTAGCACCGTCCCTTTGGTTCTCTTCTGGTGATGGTGAGTTCTTACAAGATCTGGTTGTTTAAAAATGTATGGCGCCGGCCAGGCATGGTGGCTCACACCTATAATCCCAGCACTTTGAGAGGTCAAGACCAGTGGATCACCTGAGGCTAAGAGTTTGAGACCAGCATGGCCAACATGGCAAAACTCTATCTCTACTAAAAATACAAAAATTAGCCAGGCACGGTGGTGCATGCCTGTAATCCCAGCTACTTGGGAGGCTGAGGCAGGAGAATCACTTGAACCCAGGAGGCAGAGGCTGCAGTGAGCCGAGATTGTGCCACTGCAGTCCAGCCTGGGCAGCAGTAAGACTCTATCTTAAAAAAAAAAAAAAAAAAAAAAAAATTATGTGGCACCTCTCCCCACTTCTCTTTTCCTCCTACTCCAGCCTTGTGAGGTGTTTGTTCTCCTTTTGCCTTCCACCATAAATGTAAGTTTCCTGAGTCCTCCCCTTAAGCCCAGCAGCGGATGCCAGCATCATGTTTTCTGTACAGCCTGTGGAACCATGAGCCAATTAAACCTCTTCTTTATAAATTACCCAGTGTCAGGCATTTCTTTATAGCAGTGTGAGAACAGACTAATAGGGTGTCCCTTCTGGAAACAGCAGGCTCATGGGTTAGAAAGCAGCAAGTAAGAGGAACTTCATCCTAGATTCTTCATTTTGAGGCACCTAGGGTGCCTCAAAAGCTGGTTCCAGCCAAGGGCAGTGGCATATTTCCATAGTCCCAGCTTCTCAGAAAGCTGAAACAAGAGGCTCACTTGAGCCCAGAGTTCAAGTTCAGCTTGGGCAATATAGCAAGACACTGTCTCTTAAAAAAATAAATAAAAATTTTAAAAAGTTGGTTAACTTCTCTCAAGGAGCCTGAGGTCAGATTAGCATTCTGACCCCTTCCAGCTTCACGTCTTGCATTTCACCCATTTGGACTCTTAGCTGGGACTCCCTGGGTGACACATAGAGCAGATTTGGCCTCAGCAGTTGAAACAGGTTCACATGAGAGCCCCACAGGCTACCAAAGAGAGGAGAAAGAAACCAGTAAGGCTTCAGCCAGATATTTCAAATATATAGTCCTATTGTTAATCCCCCCCACCCTCTTCCCCGCCCCCTGCCCAATAAAAGACTTAAGGCACGACCACCAAAACATCAGCACTTCCCTTTTCACGTCACTAAAGTTGGAGAAACAAAGGCCAGAGCTAGCTCCTCTGGTGATGGAAGCCCGTTCCATTCCCTCCTCCCGGGATGCCATTGCCCTCCGGTAACATCTGTTTCCTCACCCTCCCAGAGTTTCCCTGACTACTTGGATGATGTCGTGCCCTCACAACAACCTCTGAGATTCATGGTACCCCCAATTCATCTGTAAAAAGATGAGTTCTATTAAGGGGGAAGTCCCTAGAGTGATTTATGCATATAACTGCCTATTGACGGCTATACCTTTAAGTGAGTTTAAAAGATCTGGGACTGTCCTTCTAGGATTAGGTAAAACTCACCAGGGACTTGTTGATTAATCAGAAACTAGAACAAGGCTTTCTTCATCACCATGAAAACACACATGAAAAAACTCCATCTTCATTTTATCTTTTCTACCTCCTCTTTATTCCATGAGAGTTAGCTCAATCCTGCATCTGCCAGCCACACTTACAGCCCTCTCATACTTCTGAATGCCAAAGCCATGATCACTCTGAACCAGATTCCAAGGTAACAAAGAGTTGTATTGCTTTCTTCAACAGTCATCCCATTCTTGGGACTTTATTTTACCTTTCGCTTGTATACCACTCATCACCCAGATTATAATGTCCTAGGAGGTGTTTTTAAAAATTGACCCCAGTATCTAATGAAGGCCTAGCATAATTGCTACACCATAAAAGTCCCCATTTAGCAACTATTTACTGGATACCAATATGTACCAGGCATTGTACCCAATGCTGGGGAATAGTAATAAGACAAGACAGGCATGACCATAGGCATTTTACAGTTTAATCCTCACATCAACATTCCACTTCAAAGGTAGAAAAATAGGCTGGCGAGTAAGAAGAGGGATGGGGTTCGAGTGCAGACCATCTAGGTCCAGAGCTCATGCGTATAACCATGCCCAACATGAATGAAGAAGTATGTTCAAAGTTGAGCCTGGAAGAGTGTGGTCTGTAAAGTGTGACTAGTAGAAACCTATCCTGTATGGATGTTCATTCAGATGAACAGATGTTTATTGCTCCCAGTTATATTTCAGATGCTGAGCCGGGCGCGGTGGCTCAAGCCTGTAATCCCAGCACTTTGGGAGGCCAAGGCGGGTGGATCACGAGGTCAAGAGATCGAGACCATCCTGGTCAACATGGTGAAACCCCGTCTCTACTAAAACTACAAAACATTAGCTGGGCATGGTGGCACGTGCCTGTAATCCCAGCTACTCAGGAGGTTGAGGCAGGAGAATTGCCTGAACCCAGGAGGCGGAGGTTGCGGTGAGCCGAGATCGCGCCATTGCACTCCAGCCTGGGTAACAAGAGCGAAACTCCGTCTCAAAAAAAAAGAAAAAAAAAATATTTCAGATGCTGATATGCCCTGGGGAACACAGCAGTGAACAGGAAGGAACAGGTCTCTGCCCTCAAGTAGCTTACCTTCTAAACAGGGGAGAAAGACAGTACAAAATAATTGCAAATTCTAATAAGTGCTGAAAACACAAAACAGAGACCAGTATGGGAGAGAGGCTGTTGGAAGAGGGAAGGCATTGGGTAAGACCAACCTCATGAGGTGACCTGTGAGCTGAATCCTGAATGCCAAGAATGCAAGAGGGAATCACGTAAAGGCTCAGGGAAGAAGAATTATGGACCAGAGCTTGGGGGCAACCTGGTGTGTAGGTGTAATAAGAAGCCCTAGATAACTGCCCTGGAGGGTGGAAAAGTGTTTTGTAGCTCTGCCCAGATTCTATGGTTTTGGGGAGATGACAGGGATGACACTGGGGAAGATATGAAAGATG